TTTTTCCCCCCCCCCCCCCCCCCCCCAAAAAAAAAAAAAAGACACTGAATGCATGCCAAGGGGAGCTATAAATAGTGATACAAAACAAACATAAATTGGGGGATTCCAATCTGAAATTTTGTGAATGCACACTGGAATCAGAGAAGTTCATACAAAAAATAGGGGATGAACTACATACCATATTTGGGTCGTTCGTCGCCGGGGTTTCTCAAATATGGAAGAAACATGTTGTTCCTTGAAGACCTGCGTAACAACAATAAACACTATCAAAACCCTACACATACACTCAATCATGCAAAGCACCACAATACGAAATGAAAAACGAAAATACCCAACGGGTAATGATTCTTACACGACGTTGCTCGCTGGACAAACTCCCAACGCGAGCTTCCACTATGCCGGCTACTGGTATGCGACCATACGAGAAGAGAATGGAGCAATAATTGTTGAAATGGAAGATAAATGAAAATTTTTGAAGAACCGAGAGAGAGTGGAATGGGAACCGTTTGGGCTGTGAAGTGTGAAGAAGGAAATTAAGAAAATGAGGGTTTTCAATTGGTGAGACAGTTTTACCCTTGTTGAGTGGAAAAAAATTGGTTCTCTCTCTTTAATTAACGGCAAAATGGATGGAACTTGGACGGAAGGACCTTCATCGCAACGAAAGGTTGATTTGAGGGCAAAAATGTCAAAAAAAAAAAGGTGGGGGCGTTTTGCACAATTAAGCTGAAAGGTAGGGACTTTTTGTGCCAATTACCCATTGAATGTATATATTTCACTGTTTAGAAACCATATATATGGACCCCCTCCTGGAATGTACGATTATGTTATTTGTTTTGAACTTGTGATTTTGCTTGGTGGAGCAAGAAGTTTGACGAGTGGTCTATGGTTCCAGGCAAATGCGTTATCTGGCATGGGCGTTGCTGATCACAGCAAAAGCACATACATGGAATTGCAAAGGAAGAAGGCATATCGCTATGTGATCTTTAAGATTGATGAGAAGAAAAAGGAAGTCATTGTTGAAAAGACTGGCAGTCCAGCCGAGGGTTATGATGATTTCACTGCATCGTTGCCTGAGAATGATTGCCGATATGCAGTTTATGACTTTGATTATGTGACTTCTGAGAACTGCCAAAAAAGCAAGATCTTTTTTATAGCATGGTATTTCTCTCTCTCTCTCTCTCTCTCTCTCTCTCTCTCTTTTCATCCATGTTTATATTTAAGGTTATGAGGTTTTTGTTCGAGGAGCAAAATGTGATTATTTATATTGTCATGATATTTGATAGCATATTCTCGGTTGCTTAAATTGCACTTGAATGATAACCCCTTGTTTCCTGAACATTGTTCTTTGTGCGGTAACCATCATTTAGGTTAGGTCATAGGAGACAAGGAGGTTGCAAATACACAAACACTAATACTTTATAGATGCTAATTGCGGGCTGTTTGCCTTAGGATTTCAACTTCTTGCAGAAGCTAATGTATCTCATGAATTATCGGCATTGTTTCATAATCACCATTGACCAAGATGGATTCATGTCATAAGCACCTTATAAGCTTAGCCAGACATACTCTTGGTCGAATTGTATATACAAGTTTTAAAACCTACATAGACATAATACGTTTTGAGTTTCTATATAGTGCTTTTCTCTCCTCTGCCTGTGATCATAGGAACTATTTTCACTAAGCCCTCTTCTAACCTGTTCATCAAACCACCTTCCAGAACAATATGACAAGGGGAACAGCCGTATAAAGAGAGTTTTATGCTAAGACAATATAATGTAATATTAAATAATCATATTTAGATTATTCATTACACTCAAGTGACTCATAAAGTGAAGATGCTAACAAGTCGACTTGGCACTGATTTAGGAGTTAGGAACTTGGGATATGTTCTGTGTAGACCTAAAGAGGCCTATGCAATTTAAGGAGACGTTAAAAGAAAGATGGGGTAGAGAACTAGTTTTGGCATATTGGATCTTCCACTAGATCTTGTAGCGAATTGAATAGAATGACAGAAACTCATGGGGCCAACCTCCGAATTTATTGAGAACAGGACTTCGTTTTTTTTGTTGTATTCATCTGACGAATCAGTTAAAAGAGTGTGTACACAAGATTGAAATTTTCCTTTCAGGTCTCCTTCTGTCTCTCAGATTCGTGCCAAGATGCTTTATGCCACCTCCAAGGAAAGGTTCAGGAGGGAGCTGCAAGGTATACATTATGAGATTCAGGCCACCGACCCAACTGAGATGGACCTTGACGTGATCAAAGAGCGTGCTAATTAAATGCTCTTGCCTTGTGCAACGTTAACTTGTCTTTGGCAAAAGTTCGATACTTTAGTATCAAGATTAACAAATATGTCATCTATTAAGTAGTGTTTAAGCAATACTTGTTTCCGACACACATGTATGGCATAATCATGTATAAATAAATACGACACTGGGAAGCCTGATTTAGGAATTCCAACATATATCCCAGATTGTGGGGATTATGCAATTCGTGATTCTCATGATGCTTCCCTGATGAAAAACGTATTCGATTATGGATCTTAACAGTTTTTTTTCTTTTCTCAAGCCTCCCTACTTCTTGATTTGTAGCTCCTGTACTTCTCCATGCAGTGGAGCATTCTATCAACTAAAAATCCAAGGAACAAAGAAAATCCTGCAAAATCGAGTACAGGTTTTTTGGGATAATGCCCTGTGACGCACGTGTTATCCATCTCATAACAGCAATATGGCTTAGTTTGTTGCTATTGTTCATAGAAGCAATATACAACTATTGTTAGCGTACGTGTTTCTGTGTTAGCATATATATGCAGTTCATATCTAAAGATTCTACTATAAGTTTTAACATTAATTTGTCATCAGACAAACGGGGACCATGATATGGTTAGAAGTAGATGATTCAACGTTACTTCCCATTGTTGACATGGCAAAAAAACGTTGTGTATATTTTATTCTGTTCACCGGGGACAGGAGATTAATTTCATCCCTTCTGATTATTTCCCGCATGAAAAAGTTATCAAAATGGAACGAGTCAAAATCAAAACTGGAAAAAAGAGATAGCCATAGTAATTCAGGGGACTTAAGATTGAAACCATTTTCATATTTATATAACTATTTTTGCTGTAGAAGATTAATTTACTTTGACTGGATTGATTTTGCATACATTAGTATGATAACATCAAACTTAGATACTTGCAGAGAGTACTAATCCCTCTTAAGGTGAATCTGAAGTACGTATTCTATCTGTATCTTTGCCAAGTTTAAAACTTGTAATTAACTAAATAGGAACTGCTCTAATTTCATTTTCGCCTTGTTGCCTCATTTCTGTTTCAGTCCCACTGTCATCCTCATTCTCCTGTGACATTTCCTCCAGTGATTTACCCTTCGACTCGGGCACCAATAAAGTGAACAACATACCAAGGAAATTGACACAGCCAAGAACGATAAGCGCGTTCCTAACACCAATACCAGGAGGGTATCCAGCATCAGTCTTTTTTGGATCAGTAGGCTGAGCAGCATACAAAAATCCAAATGCTCCGATAATGGCTCCAGCCTTGCCAGCGGCTGCTGATATTCCGTGGCACGTGGACCTTAATCTTGCTGGGAAAATTTCCGCCGGGACGACAAATGTCGTGGCATTCGGCCCAAAATTGGAGAAGAAGAACGTGAGTGAGTAAATAATCACAAATCCGATTCGGTTCTCTTTGTGTGTCCAGTGCGTGTAAGGAATAGCCAGTGCAAACATAAACACCGTCATGAAGAAGAATCCCATTATCTGAATTGCAAATCTTCCAATTTTGTCGATGAACGCGACTGTAAACCAGTAGCCTGGTACAGTACTGCAGAGGGCAATAAGAGTTTGAGCCCTCGCAATTCTGTAAACTTCTTCGATCGCATTCATTGTTTTGGGAGGGGGAAGCCACCCAATTGCAGAGAAAATATCCTTCTGGAAAAGGTTCTGACTGTAGAAGGCAATGTCCAGCAAGAACCATGTACTCGTTGTTCCAAGCAAGTGAAGTCCATGGCGTCGGAGGAATTCCTTCGTAAACAAGCCGAAACCATTCTCTTTCTCCTCCGCAAGCTTCTCAACCTTTTCAGGTTCAGCCTCGAGTTCAACTTGCAATACTTTGGACATATCAGAAGCGGCCTGTTTGGCATTCTTGGCAATCAATGCCGTATAACGTGCTGTTTCAGGCATCTTCATACGCCAGTAGTAAGTGAGTGCGGCTGGAATTGCACCGAACATTACAATTATGCGCCAAACGTAATCAGCTTCAGGGACCGTCGAAGCAGAAGCATTATCTTCATAGGCAGGGGCAGGATATCCGGCCTTAAACGATGCAGAAACGATGATTGCTACCATTCCACCAGCCAAAATTCCGAAACCTTGCATTGCAAAAACTGCAGCAATGAACGCTCCACGAGTCTTCTTATTGGCATACTCGGACATGATTGTGGCGGAGAGCGGGTAGTCACCTCCAATGCCAAAACCGAGCCAGAAACGGAAGAAGCAAAGTGTAGCCATAACAGCCTTCGGTTGATCTCCAAACGAAAGGGCAGAAGCAATTGAACATATGACCATAAGCATAAGGGTCATGCCATACACCTTTTTCCTACCCAATTTATCGCCAAGCCACCCGAAGAAGAGTTGGCCTGCAAGAGTACCACAAAGCGCGACGCCGTTGACAGCAGCAGCCACATTGGGAGGCAAAGTGCCTGGATTTTTGGCTCCGTCTTGGTGGTAGTATATGCGGCCGAGCAATTTGGTTACCAGTGAAACGCAGAAGAGATCATAGGCATCGGTGAAAAATCCCATACCAGCAATCACAATTGCAGTGAAGTGATACCATTGTGTTTTAGCCACATCAAGTGCATTAAGCACTTGTAATTGCTCCTTAGCCATGACTATTTCTCAATCTTGAATTACTTCTACCAATTCTTGTTGACTCCTAAACCCTGGAAACACAAATAGGAGAGAATTATTAGTACAAACAAGAAAATAGTTCTGATTACGGCAATATTAAATGTTACAGTAACAAAATTTATTTCAGCTTAAATATTCTGCGAAATATAATCCCAGTTTTTAATCCTTGTTATTAGAGTTAAGGGTACATATGAAACTTCTAAGAAGACAAAAATGAATTATTCTTCTTGTACAACCGGGGTTGACAATGTACTCACAACAGAGGGATCCACGATTTTTTTATTCATCGTGTGCCCTCATGTGTTTAATTGTCAATTGGAATTGTCAATTTCGATTGTACACATAGCACAACTGGACAAAAATAGGCCTGATTCTAATGATCTTGGCAGCTACTATGCATGGATACTAGTATTCAAAATTGGTGAACTCTTATATGGACCTTTATCAGTCATTTATTGAATATGAAGGGAACTTGTGAAAGCAATAAATGAAGTCAACAAATTATAAATTAAAAATCAATTTAATAATTAGAGTATTAATAGCAGCTGTTGCCTATAGTAGATAAAGTTATAGGTTCATAAAATAATATCGACTCGACAGTATCGTACGCGAAAATATATAACTATATCTCCAACCTACCAAGATAGACTTGATTTCTTTTCTTTTTTTTCGTTTATCCAAAATATAGGCAACTTTCCTTGATGATGGTATAATTAATATCTTAATTTTTTAATATACTATTAATTAATGTGCCTTGTTATCAAAAAATATGAGTTACCATTATTCAATATAGGGTATATTAAAAAAATATATGTAAAATTTATTGTTCCAACATGTAAATTAGTGAATTTTATTAATCTGCAGAAAAAAAAAATATCAGGAAAATATGAATACGACAGTTCAACAACGAAACGTGCACATGTGAACCATAGGACTTGTGCTCAAAGTAGACAAAAGAGTATTTCTTGTGAACATGGATTGACAAAGACATCTTACAGAAAAATACACAAGAAGATAGTTGCATGAATCGCCCATGTTTCCAAAGTAAAAGAAAGAGAAAAGTCAAAGGTTAACATAAAAATCTTTCACAGTGTGTCTGTGATTTCTTTGAAACTTGCTAAAAGTTCAAACTTCAAAGTAGAGTACCGTAAAACCAGTGGCTGCTTCTATCTAGGATCCTCATCTAAAAAAAAGGTTGAACCCCAGTTTTGAATGCTCCCACGGCCTCGCTCCTAGAGTTTTGTGAGGGAGGTAAATCGCGAAATGTGTCATAACAGGCCAGAGAATAAGAACTGCATGTACACTTCACCGACAAGGAGTCCAATTCCATATTTCAGGAATTGAACCCCCACACTGCGACTGTCAGCAAAACGTGAGATAACCCCACTCCTATCTTTTACACCATTGGACTATGCCGAGGGCTAGAATCCTCATCTATCTAATATACTTATGGTTTTCTTAAGATTATGAAATTTATCTAACTTCCTCAAGTCAAAGGGTACCATAGGACTTATGCTCAAAGTAGACAACCTAATATTTAGAGCCTGTTTGGTAACCATTTTTTTCAAAATGCATTTTTCACTCTCTTCTTTTCAATCACACATTCTTTATTAAAATAATATTACACGAAAATCAAAATTTTTCCTTATTTTTCAACCACACATTTCACATCAATTTACTATTCTAAAATACATTTTTACATAAAAATGTCTATCAAACACCCCCTTATTGTGAACTTCTAGTGGTAACGACACGTAACAGAAAAATACACAAGAACTTTTCATTTTTTTTTTTTTTCTTTTCTCTTTCATCCATGTTACTAAAATACGTTTTAACATAATCTTTCATGTGTTCATATAATTTCTAGGAAGATTTGCTAAAAGTTCAGATTCGGATACCTTAAATAACAATGGCCACTTTGTTTAGATAAAACTATCATCTTTCTAAAATATAAATTTGGCAAGAAAGAAATGATTATGCAAAAAATAAATAAATAAATATTTGAAATTTTAGGTTCATTTCATTTTAAACACTGCAAATCATCTATACGTAGTGTTTCTTAACGTGAAATGTGATGCAGCGCTAAACAAGGAATTCAAGCGAAATCTTTAAAAAAACGAAATTTGGAATTCACCAAATTATAAAGGTAATAAAATCACGAATCTTATTACTGAATGTTAATGAAAACAACGAAATAACACTTTATTTATAAGGACTTACATGAAAACGAAAAAGAAAACGTAGTTTAAAACAACTAAAATTAATTAAAACAAAATTAAAACAAATTAAAATTGAAAAAACTCAAAATAAATGAATGAAAGAAATAGCGCCAAATCAATAAAAATCAGTTTTCGAGTCCTAAACAAACTCAAATAGCCAAAATTCATCTTACGTCATGGCATAGCGGTGAGTATTGCTCGTCTCGCCGTTTTCTTTTCAAAATTGTCTTATGGACCCAATCCAAAATTCGAATATTTTTTCTATACTATTACATTTTTTCCATTTTTATTCAATTTCTCTTCCATCTATTCATCAATATGTTTGCATCAAAATGCATGTACACTTAAGAAATTATATATGTATATACACTACATACCTCAGATTGACAGTATTCTTCAGAAATTCTGATAACTCCACCTCCAAGAAGCTGCAGAGATATTTCAATGAAATAAGAAGTAAAATTCTCTCAGTTTAAGGGTTTTGAGAGAAGTAGGAAAAGTGAGTGGACGGAAACGAAGGGGTGATCGGATATTTAACTCCAATGAAGCCTCTCTTGATCTTGACACGTGTACACATGGCCCCACGCTGATGAGTTAGAGAAAGTTCTTTTAGACTTTGATCATCAACTGATGTTATGGTCAACGATGTAATTTGATAATTTGTTTTTTTTTAATATATAAATTTTGTAAATTAATCTTACGGCGACTCCACAACTGTTCCCACGTTTAGGTTCTAATAATGTTTTATGTATCATTCTTTAACAAAAATAAATTTAGAAGTAAAAGGTAAATAGGGTTATACGTCACCATAGCTGCCATTTGTTGGAAAATATTTTGCCATTTATTAATGGAGAGTGCATCGACTATACAAACAGATTTAGAGGATGTTTGATGTGGATTAAAATTAGATTTTTTAGTAGATTGTGATGGAAATGTGTGGTTGAAAAGTTGTCGGATTCATAAAAGATGTGGTTAATATTGATTATTTGACTTTGATTTAACTTAAAATCAGATTTTAATCCAAACCAAACAAACACTTAAACTTTGTAGTAGAACATTGTCTTGATATTTTGATAATCATTTATTTTGCCATTTATTAATGAAGATTATTAATCACACCTGGAAAGTGACATTCTTAACCAAGCATCTTTTAGAGTTATTTATTTTTAAATTGTATTTTGTATATTTTAGATAAATATTTAGATTTGAAGAGTAAAAATTTTATTTCCTCTCTACCAAAATCTTTATCTTTAACTTTTTAACAATCATTTATTGTTTTCCCCATTTAATAATTAGCATATTTTTTTTAGGTGTGAATAGTTAGAATATTAAAAAAAATGTAATTTGAATAAGAAAATACTCTAAATGTTAATAGTTAAAATACTGAATATGATATGAATAATTTAAGTAGTAGCATATTGTTAATTTGCAGTTAAGTAGGGGTGGCAAGCGATTCGGGATGTACTCTAATGGGATGCTCGGAGCGATTCGGCTCGTTCGTCAAAGGCTCTTGAGTTTCGTGAGTGGCATGAGAGGTTCAGTTAAGGCGGTCGAGCAACATGCTTGAACCTGTTAATACTACAAAAAACAAATGGCAAAGGAGCCAGTCGGGGAACGAGCCAACTTTTAGGTAATGATCCAAGTGAGTCGAGCTTAGTCAATAGGTTCACGAGACAGCTCAATCCTGTTGTTGCTACCCTTAGGTGCTCCTTGCATCTGTAAGGATTATAATTATAGCAATATCACAAGTACAACAATTTTGACATCATGATTAACAGTCCTCTTACATACAAGAGGTGGAATCCACGTTTAAAATAATCGTGGGCTCCACAATTGTGAGAGTGTTGTAAGTGTGCAGTACTGTATACACGACATTTTTGTTATAATTATGTGTGGTCATACACGCCCCTCTCTTACGTTATAAATATTCTTAATACGATATTGCTTAATAAATTACGTTTTTTATCAGAAAAATACTTTTTATATATAATTTTTCCTCTTTATGGCATCATACATTAGTTATACATTTTGTTCACTCCTCATAGTTGTACTCAATATTTTTAAAGAAAATAAGTTTAGACAAATTCAAAGCATTATTGAGAATGATAAAAATAAGTTTGTATAAATTCAAGCCATCATTGAGAATATCACAATTAGGTTTGTCAATAGATTGAATTTTGATCTAAATTCAATAAAATTAATGGGAGATGGATTTATGGCCACAGTTCGATAACCCGATCAATATCCGAATTCGATAATTTGTCAACTAAATGGAGCAAATATATATAAGTTAATCCGATCTAATTTATTATAATAATATAATATATTTTTATATTATTGCATAATTTATTACATATAATTTTTTTCATTTTGAAACTAGAATAATACTTTATGATTTTTAATGAAGAATGTCAAACACATCAAATTCTAATACAAAATTAAAATATATTACAATAAATTTTTATTGAAATTGGTAAACCCACTTTTCAATAAAAATGTATAAAATATTTCAAATTGAATTATTGGATCCAATTTTCGATAACCTAACAAATCGGATATGAATTTATCAATCAAATATCCATTAAATTATTGGATCGAATCCATCAATTATTCTTATCGGATTGGATCAGATATAGGTAGAACCGATCCATATTCGACCATTTACAATCCTAATCACAACGCTTGCCACATAATTTTTGATCTAGTACTTAGTACTTAATTTCCATGTTTGACTAATGCTTTTAAATCATTTATAAATTAAATCGTCTGTAAACAACTCTTAAAAATTGTATGAAAACTCATAAACCTTTACCACATTTGATCCTTCTATATTTCTTTTCTAATTATATTTTGAAATTCATAAATATTTTTTTATATAATTCATATTTTAATAAATAGTTGTATCTCTCTCTCTCTCAATTTCAATTCATATTCATGACACGTTAGTTATATATAATGTCGAAGTTCACTACTAAGCCTTGTTTAGACAACTAATATGCTCATTTGGCATTAGTGTGAACATAGCTTAGTACAATATAATTTCCAAGATACTTCTCATATAATATTACAAAAAATTAAATCCATGTTTTTGTTCTTGTCGGCTGTTTATGGTTTCAACTTGCGTACGGAGTCAAAAAAAGTGTTTACAAAAAATTCTCAAGAATAAATAAATAAATTTTACATTTGGATATCGCCAAATAAATAAACAATTAATCAATCAAATTATGAGTAAATTATTGATTATTTTTGTAGTTTTGTATTAATAAGTGGGGCCTAAATTGCTGGTCTAGTAGATTGTTTATTTCGACTTGGAACCCCACTAGAAATGACGTGAGTAAAGAGAGTCAAAAGGAAAACGCGTAGATTTGGAGAGGAAAATTTTTAGACCCAAAAAATTATAAAATCCAATTTTGTTTATTCAATAATAATTGCAATTTTGTGAACTTAAATTTGTGAAGTAGTTGGTATCTAAAAGACCATAGAATTAATGCCAAAAGGAAAATACAATTGTAAACGTGAGGGGGGAAAAAGGTGATTTTTCTTTCGGAAGCTTAGGTCAAATTATTTGAAAATTATGCGTTGATTACATATTAACAAAACTTTTTTGGAAAAATTGTAGCAGAAGTTCCAAATCTTTGAAATATTAGCAGACTTTTCCCAACATTTGATTTGTTATAACCGTTACCTATAACATTTCCAAACGTTGCATGTAAAGCCCTTTTTGGATAATTTCCATCCACAATTCCGTTAGTTGATCAAAAATTAAACTTTGACCATATTTTTAATATTTTAAAAGGGGTAAAATAATAAATTCCCATTTATCACATTAAATAATAATTAAATTAAAAAATTAGAAATAAAAAAACACAACTCCTATCTTCTTCCTCTCACCCAACCCCCACCCCCAACCTATCCAAAATCCACACCAACCACCGCCACCACCACCTTTACCTTCACCTCCATCTCAACCTTTGTATCACTCTAAAAAGGGTCTAAACCCAGATCTATACATACAATTTTTGGCCTAGATTTGTGCAGGTAATGATGTTTCGGGTCTCCATGCAAAATCATTTGACCCGAAACCAATACTAGAATTATCAAAAAACCTGTCTAGGGCTACATATTCGCCATTATTGCCGCTATAGTTCTCTGTATTGACAAATCCAAGCTCAAACGAGTCTAACTTGGGATTTCTCCATCGAGCCACGAAAACTCGCTACTGAGCTCCGACGAGTCAGACTCAACTTGGAGTAACTCATTTCTTTTCTCATTCTCCACCCCGCTAGGAGATGCGGATGATGGTGGAAACCCAAGCTCGTCAATTGAATTT